CCCTCTTGGTAGTCTTTCAAGTGCTACACAGTCCTGTTTTTTGTTTGATTTATGTGTGTGACTTTAGAAATACTGGTAGGATAAAAAAAAATCTTAAGTGGGTAGAAACCAGTGGCATCTGGTTACACTGCACACAGGCAACAGTAACACAATATATTGCAGGCCACAGGTAGAACTCCAGTGGGCTGCAGGTTGCTCACCACTGCTCTAAAGCAAAGTAAGCAGCCCTGGGAGAGAGGGGAAGAGCCTTCTGGGCGGTACGTCAGTGGTTAAAACACGGAGAACCACATGTAGGTGTATTAAATGAACAGCTTTCATTTTGGAGCATGGTAAGTAGTGAGGTGCGCCCTGGGGCCTGTGCTAGCTATTCAACATCCTCATTAACGATCTAGAAAAACTGGATCACTGGTGAGGTGGCAGTTTGTAGATGATACAAAATTGTTCAAGCTAATTACCTAAAGCTAAATGTGAAGCATTAGAAAAGGGTTCACAAAATTGGGTGAGTAGGCAACAAAATGGCAGATGATATTGAATGCTGATGAAATGCAAAGTAATGCACCTTAGAAAAAGTCACCTTAGCTACAGATACAAAATGGTAGAAGGTCTAAATTTGCAAGATACCTTTCTTGAGAGTTTACTGCTCTCATTGTGCAGTTCCCTGAAAATATCTGCTCTATGTGCAGCTGCAGTCAAAAGAGCTAACAATCCTAGAAATTATTAAGAAAGGGGTTGTAGCTAAACTGAAAATACAATGCCTTTACTTAAGACCATGGTATGTTTATACTTCTAATTCTGTGTGCAGTTCTGGTCATTCCATTCTCCAAAAAGATATACAGGCAGTCCCTGAGTTACACGGATCTGCAGTTACGAACGGGGCTTTTCTCGCCCTGGAGGACAGGAGCGGCGGGATGCCCAGGTGAGCCGCGTCCTCCGGGGCGAGAAAAGCTGCTCCCCGTCTCCCTGGTCTGCTGGGGGAGGGCGGGTGCAGCTAGTGCCCTCTCCCCCCCAGCAGACCAGGCTTTTCTGCCCCAGGCGTCCCCAAGTCAGCTGCTGCTGAAACTGACCAGCGGCTGACTACAGGAAGCCCTAGCCAGAGTTGCTCTGCACCTGGCTTCCTGGAATCAGCCACTGATCAGTTTCAGCAGCGGCTGAATCTGGATGCCAGTTCCGACTTACATACAGATTCAACTTAAGAACCCCAGGCATCCCCAAGTCAGCTGCTGCTGAAACTGACCAGCGGCTGACTACAGGAAGCCCTAGCCAGAGTTGCTCTGCACCTGGCTTCCTGGAATCAGCCACTGATCAGTTTCAGCAGCGGCTGAATCTGGATGCCAGTTCCGACTTACATACAGATTCAACTTAAGAACCCCAGGCATCCCCAAGTCAGCTGCTGCTGAAACTGACCAGCGGCTGACTACAGGAAGCCCTAGCCAGAGTTGCTCTGCACCTGGCTTCCTGGAATCAGCCACTGATCAGTTTCAGCAGCGGCTGAATCTGGATGCCAGTTCCGACTTACATACAGATTCAACTTAAGAACCCCAGGCATCCCCAAGTCAGCTGCTGCTGAAACTGACCAGCGGCTGACTACAGGAAGCCCTAGCCAGAGTTGCTCTGCACCTGGCTTCCTGGAATCAGCCACTGATCAGTTTCAGCAGCGGCTGAATCTGGATGCCAGTTCCGACTTACATACAGATTCAACTTAAGAACAAACCTACAGTCCCTATCTTGTACGTAACCCGGGGACTGCCTGTAGTTGAATTGGAAAAGGTGCAGAGAAGGCACTAGATAGAACTAGGGCCGCACTCGTCCATGGTATTAATGGAGAAGATGCAGTATCTGGGGGTGCAGAAGGGAGCTTGGGGTAAAGGATTGGGGTGCAGGAGGGAGAATGGAGTCTGGGAGGCAGTTTGGGTGAAGGAGGTAGTTGTGACCTAGGGCAGGGAACTAGGGTGCAGGGTTTTGGAATGTGAGCTAGGGTAGGCGGGGATTGTGATCTCTGGCAGGAGATGGAGTGCCAGATCTGGGAAGGGGTATGGTTGCATGTGGAAAAGCAAGGCAGGAGTGTGGGACATAAGGTTGGGGATGGGAGGAGCTGAGGTGCCAGAGGCAGGTTCTCACCAGGAGACTTACCAGACTGCCTGTCTGCAGAGCTAAAGACTTGTAGAGCTTAAAATGTTTTTGCCTGCTCAGCCATGTGCTTGAGTGAGTGAGCAGGAGGGTTGTGCTTTGTGGCTGCCTGTTATTCAGACAGGCATCTCCCATTGGCCAGTGTCTGTCCAGAAACTGGCCAATGGGACCGTGCTGAGGGCAAGAGTAGCATCTGAATCTCCCCCCACCCCTCTTCCCTCCGGATTTAGAGAAAGCGCCTGCAGCCGTGTTTGAGTGGCATGTGGGGCCCACAGCAGGCTGGGCTGGGCTAGAGCTGCCCCACCTGGCTTCCGCCATGTTGCGGGCAGCGGGCTGCTCCAGTCTCTCCTGGCCCTTTGCATTGCTCTGTGAGCGAGGTCTGCTTTGGTAGGGCCCTCCACATCACGCCGGGGGCGGGGGACTGCTGCCCCACAGTTAAACATAGTGTTTAACTGGTTAACCTTTTAAAAGATAGTTTACATCCCTACACTTGAGGTGACAAATGAGTGTAGACATTCAAGCTCTAGGTCTGTGGTCACCAACAGGTCGATTGCGATTGAGTGGTCGATCGCAAGGCCTTGACCAGTCGATTGAGAGGCGACCGGGCTCCGCCCCCCCCCCATTTTCCCCCACCCCGGAGAAGCCCCAGTACTTACCTCCAGCAAAAATGGAGGTAGTGCTGGCTTCCCACGGGTGGATGGAAGTCCCACAGCTTAGCGCCACTTCCGGGAGTTCCAGAAGTGCGCTGGCTGCTTTGCTAGGCGTGCTGCGAGATGGGGCCCTGGCTCCGGAAGAGGAGCACAGTGATTTCCGTGCACCGGCGCAGGAGGCGTGAGTTGTCCCTGGGGCAGGCACGCGTGGGATTTCTCCGTGCCGTGGGGGGTGTTTCAGCCCCGGGGCAGGCACGCACAGAGGGAAGGGGGGTGTTTCGGTCCCGGTGCAGGCGCTCGCGGGGTTTCTTTGCGCCACGGGGGCGGATGTTGGCCCCAGGGCAGGCACGCGTCGAGGGGGTTGCCCCCGAGAGGTCGCCTGAGCGGGCTTCCCTGCTCGGAGGGGGGGTAGGGTCAGGCCCAGCAGAGGCACGCAACAGGGCTTCCTTCTTTCGCGGGGGAGAGGGTCGACCCCGGAGGGAGCACGGGACAGAGGCTTCCCTCCGTGGCTGGTGTAGGGGACTCCCTGCCCCCGAACCTTGTTCCCTCTCCCCTGCCCCCTGTTCTCTCTCCCC